AACACATTGGCTATATAAAGGTAAATCTGTACAGGTTAATGACATCGTGATAAATATAAAGTAGAATGAGGTAGGTGTATGAGAGAGCTCAGAAACAGGAGAATTTGTTTCTAGTTTAGAGTATCAAGGTAGACTGCATGGAAGAAATGGCATTTAAACAACATCTGGAAGTTTAAATACAATGTTGATATGGGGAAAGGGCATTCATTTTAGGTATGGGAAAGACTGAAAAAGAAACTTGGAGAACTGTGATTACATTGCTGCTGTGCTTCTCGAACTTTAATGTGTATAAGAATCCTTGAGTATCTTGTTAAAATGCAAATTCTGATCCACTAGGTCTGAGGTGGGGCCTTAAGAGACTACATTTCTAATAGGCTCCCAGGGGATGCTGGAACTGCTGATCCAAGGTCCTCACTTTGAGTATCAAGCTTCTAGTCTAGAGAAAAGGATGATTCCAGAAGACTAGTGAGAAATGAAATGATCAGATAGGCTCAGAGCAGGTTCTAAACAGGCCTTTGAATGCTTCACTAAGGATTTTGGACTTTATTCTGTAAGCAAAATGAAATCATGGAAAGTTTCTGAACAAGGGTTTTAGTGCTAGGGGATAATTAATCTATCAACAGGTTATAGTATAAAATCGAGGTCACATACACTGTGGTCCATTCAGGAGGCTCATGCAGTGCCATATTCGTGTACTAAGTATTTATTGGGTATGCACCTTATGCAGAGCACTGTATCAGACTCTAGAGCATTGGTTCTCAAACTCCATTATGAATAAAATTTACCTAGAGAACATGTTTTTTAATGCATATTTCCAGTCCCCACACCAAGATTAGTAGATCTACTGTGAGACCCCCCCCACCAATTTCTGTTTTAAAACCACACAACCTCTGGTCTTACAGACCAGGTTACAGTGTCATAGGGGACATTGAGTTTAAAAAAACAAACCTGTGTCGCTTCTGCTCTCAGATAGCTTACATGTCCAAATGGGAGAGGAGATAAGTTTATAAGTAACTCAGAGAAAGGAGGAACAAATTATTTTGCAGCTGTGAGAATCAAGGAAAGCATAGTGTGGGGGAAATGGCATATTAGTTTGGCCTTAAAGGACGTGTAGGATTTAGACCTGTGGCGAAGTTGGGGAAAGACCTTTTAGGCAGTAGAAATAATAAAAGCAAGAATACTTAGAAGTTGTTTAGTTTGGCTAAAGATATCTGAACATTCAAAATCAACATTACAAAGATAAGTTGGGGTCAGATATTGAAAGGTCTTTTAAATTCTTTGTTTCTGTGTTTGGACTTAATTTTGTTGGCAGTGGAGAATATGAAAGAATTTTGACAGGGTCATGATATGACCAGAGCCATAGTTTAGGAAAAACAAGCTGGTGAGAGTATACAGGATGAGCTGAAAAGGGGAGAGAGAAGAGGCAGAGAGAACAATGTGGAGGCTACCACAGTAAATCTTGGAGAAACTAATGAGGCTCTGAGATTTAGGATAGTAGATGTGCAAAATAGTGGGGAGAAGAAACAGATTGGAGAGAAGGTACAAAAATAGAACCAAGGAGGGTTGCAAGCAAGAGGAAGGAAAGATGACTGTAAAGATTCTAGCCTGAGTAATTGGGAAGACACCCAGGAGACCTTTGGGAATAGAGGATTGACGAACGAGAGAGAGAGCACACCTGGAGATATATATTTGGGGACTAATCAATAAAATGCTAGTTGAAGCCTGAAGAGTGGATGAAATTGCCATAGGGAAGGAGGTGTAGAGGGAGGAAAAAAGAGGCTTAAGGACAGTGATTAGGAGGCAGAGGGAGGAAAAGGAGCTAGAAAGAAGCCATCAGAAAGGTAAGGAAAGGAGGTACAGTTTCACTGAAGAAATAGAAATATAGAACAAGGAGTGGCGGTCAGTAGGGTCAAGCGCTACAGAGAAGATGGAGAGAGAGGCATAAAAAAGGCCTTTGGATTTAGGAACCAGGAGACTGTTGATGGTCTTCAGGGAAGCAGTTTCAGTGAATTATGGAGGCAGATGACAGATTACATGGAATTTTACATCAGTTTTGAGGATGTAGAGGCAGTAAGCATAGATTACTTTTTTAGTAAGACTGTCTAGAAAGGAGTGTTGAGAGAGGATGAGATAAGAGGCTAAACTAAATTGCAAAGAGAATTTTAGAGCCTGAGGGCATAGAATAGAGGTCTTAGAGACCTGATGTAGAGGTTGAAAGGAAAAGGATTCCAGTTTCTAGACTTGGAGACTGGAAGAATGAAGATTCCATTGTAAATAAAAAGTCATAAATTAGAAGCAAGTTTGTCATTCAAAGATGACATTTTATTTTAGACATGTTTATTAATATTTTCAAGGGATACTAAGTAGAATGCCCCCTTTTCCTCTGCTCCAGTAAATCTTCCTCCTAAGGGATGGAATGAATTTCTTCATTAGAGCGAACTAGTGTCTTTCCTGATAGTTTTGGTGGACTATATTTGGAGGCTGTGTGCTAAATCCAGTAATTTCTCAGGAATCTCATTAGTATCCTAGATACTCATGTATTCTAATATTCAACTCTGTTTACATTCATGTGGTAAATCATAATGAATTTTTGATCCCCAGTAACCATGCACGGAGGCCATCCAGGTCTTTTATCTAAAACTGGTAAGACTCCAAAGGCAAACCAACAACTGTATCAGGAGCTCTTTCGTCCACTAAGTACAAGGAACTTCCCTAATGCCCTGTCCATGTGACTCTCATGCTTTCTCTTAGGGCCCTGGGTCTCAGATACTGTCTTTCTTATTCTACAGTTAAGTCCTAAAGGACTAAAGCCAAGATTTTATCTTGACCCAGGTCAACGTAGTATTGAGTTCTAGGTCAGACCCATTAAAGGCAAAATCTGAGGGAAGGAGCAACTCTCTTGTGTCCTGTGTTTTCAGAAAGACCCCCACACATTGATTTACTAGTTTTTAATTGTCACTGACCACAGAATGGCCTGAGTCTGTTCATATTAACATTTTATAACTAAAATGAAAAGGATTCTTTTCTGCTGGCCCTTTCTATCTGCTGTTTTTGGTTTTCAGTAGCTGAAGTTTTCCGTTGAGGTTCTTTTAAACGCCTACATGCAAACTGAAGAGCACTCAAGCTTTGGTGGGATATCACCCACAGCTGGAGTGATGGAGGAAGGGAGGAGGGTACAAGCCTCAGGTGCATCCTTCTCTTAAAAAAATTCAAAAAAAACGAAAACCACTTAAAGCAAACAAATTCCATCTGAAAGCAGGCAAGACCTATCCAGAGAAAGAAGGGAATGAACCTCTTTCCATGTAGGAAATGGATATCAATTCATATATAACCCAGATGCATAGGATGGGCAAGTTTGAAACATGTTGGACTTATCCTACAGCCCTCCATCTCTTCTAATCAAAGGGTGAAAAGTTGTGAACCATGAACCGTGGTGAGAAGCAGTGGAACAGAGTTGCAGCAATGGCTCCTCTGTTGGTGGTTAGGCCCTGTCTTGCTCTATTAAGCAAACACAGTTAATATAGATGAAAGGTAACCTTGATAGAAGTGAAAATTGAAACTTGAGTTGAAGGTAACAAGCCAGGCGCAGCTGCGTTGTACTTCCTCCTATGTGGCAACAGGAGCTGCGCTTACTGGTGTTTTTTGGAAGGGATGTAGTTTTTTAAAATACCCTTTTTTCAGAGTGTTTTGGTTTTTAACGTCTATGCATTGGTAGGAGAGTGTGGAATATGTTAGTAAGAAGCCGCTTAGACTTTATAAGTCTAGTGTGTGAGGTCAAATCCAAGTTTAGCATTCTAATCACACATCTGCTGTTAACTGGCTATGTAACCTCGGACAAAGCACTGAGAATATCTCTGTATGAAAAACAAGAGGGTTGGATTAGATGATCTCTAAATTCCCTTCCAGCCCTAAAATCCCATTGATTTGTGATTCCTCATGGGAAAGTACAACTTCCAATTTCTAAGAGTGAATGTTTGAAAAAGTAAGCATTTATGCAGCATATTTTGTATATGAAAAATTCCTTATGAATGTTTATTATTAATACAGCCGGCAAATGTCTGGGTTTTGTTAGTGTCAGTACCTAATTTGCCTTCTTCATTTCTTATGTTCTTCAGCTTAAGAGTGTTACAGCTCTTTTTAAGATAATACCTGGTCACCCAACTCACTTGGGCCAATTGCTCCTCTCCTATCCGGTCCTGTAATTCTAGGATCTTGAGTTCATCCCTCCCTAACTTGGGTATAGGTGCCCTTCCCTTGCTTAGGTTGAGCTCCATTTACCTGTGTCAATGAAAGTGACTCCTTAGAAGGTTATGTTAAAGAATTACTTCTCCTTTTATCTTTCTCAACAGTATTTCACTAGTACTGCCAGCTTCCTCTACATTCAGTGTTGTCTCTTTATCAGTTCCGAGAGAGAGAGAGAGAGAGAGAGAGAGAGAGAGAGAGAGAGATAAGACTCTTTTAGCAGTTCATATACATGGAAGGGGAAGAGGCAAAGCATGGCTTAAAATCAGAAAAACAGTATTAACTAGTCAACTCTCAATCTTAGTGACTTAAATTGGATACATTTGAAGGATTAAAACAGTTTTTTCTTCTTGAAACCAAAGAGCACATCACCTCGCCTCTTAACTGCAGCCACCAAAAAAGGTACTAGATCTGAGAACCTTTCTTTTCCCCCAGTACTGGAGAAGAGTTGTGCAAAATGTTTTTTTTCATGGTTTCTTTGAGCAGTCATAGCTAAAATCTGTTATCTCTAATTTTCTGGGTGTCCTAAAACGCTGTCATCTATTTCTGTGTGCGTGTGAGTGTGTTTTCCCCTGACTGTGGTTCTGAATTCAAATAATGAGTAATCATCCTAGTGGCGTTTTCTTGTTTTGTAAATGTACAATATTATGTTAGCTTCATTTGGTATTTCATTGTCAGTTGTGAGTCCCTGCTCTTTGAGCTGCTTTGATAGCCCCAAATACAATCATTGTTCATTTCTTGCATTTTCCTCCCTGCAGATGATTCAATGAAAGTGAAAGATGAATACAGTGAAAGGGATGAGAATGTTTTAAAGCCAGAGCCCATGGGAAATGCAGAAGAGCCTGAAATCCCTTACAGCTATTCAAGAGAATATAATGAATATGAAAACATTAAGTTGGAAAGACATGTTGTCTCGTATGATAGTAGCAGGCCAACCAGTGGCAAGATGAACTGCGATGTGTGTGGATTATCCTGCATTAGCTTCAATGTCTTAATGGTTCATAAGCGGAGCCATACTGGTAAATAGTCTCCTTTATCCATTCTTCTGAAAACTCTCGTAATGCAGCCATGTGAGAAATGAAGTGGTGGAATTTGGGGTGACTTTTGATTACTTTCACTGATTTTTGCTATAATTCTGATGTATCTCTTCTCTCCATTTCCATTTAACCAGTGATTTTTAGTCCTGCTTCACCATGCATTTGGCAAACATACTGCAAATGCTATGAATAAAAACAAAGACTATAGAGGGCACAGTGTTCTAGGTCAGCCAAATATTTTTTTCTTGAGTTAATAAGTAGGAGTTGAATTGTGTGATTTGCTTCTTAGGCATCTTTCATATATTTTTACATAACTTTTAAAAAAGCAGATCTCATTATTGGGTTCAAATTTGGTAGATGAAAGGATGTAGTTTTTATGACCAGTTTAAAAAAATTATCTTCAGACAGTAAACAGGTAGTCTATAGAAATGCATACAATCACAACAATCCTACTGAGCCCAATAGATTCCTTCTGCAATCTGATATAAAGACTTTAAAAAGAAGCATTTCTGGCCCTCGATACTTTATTAGGACTTGAGTCTGTGACTCTTTTTTCAGACTGAGATTATATTCAAAAGGAATGCTAAGTAATGTAAAAACTTACATCCAGAAAGCACTTCTAGAGCTACTCTTGTTTCTTTGCTCTGATCCAAGACAAGATGATGCCTAAAACAGCCTTGCCTAGGGAGTGCTTTTTCTCTTCTAGAGGGAAGAGTCCATTAAGTCTTATGCTTGCCTTGAAATATAACTCCCAGCCAATCCCAGTATGAACAGAAACTGTCTAAACGATGAGCTTTTGCTAGAGGCAGCTAATCTGTGCATATGCTTCTCCACTTGCTGGTGATCAGAAATCTCCTTTTTGTCCTTTTTAAAGGTGAACGCCCATTCCAGTGTAATCAGTGTGGGGCATCTTTTACTCAGAAAGGTAACCTCCTCCGCCACATTAAACTGCACACAGGGGAAAAACCTTTTAAGTGTCACCTCTGCAACTACGCATGCCAGAGAAGAGATGCACTCACAGGTCATCTTAGGACACATTCTGGTAAGTGAGAGCAATGAGCATTCCATATCTAGTAAATGTGTGTTCCTCCATGCCCGTTGCAGAAACTAGAAAGAGTTAAGTATGGAGGTTTTCATCTGTCATTCCTGTTCTGAAGGGTTACAACAGCAGAGACCTCTAGGGCTAATTACACTCCATTAAGGCATTAATTGCTCTCCGTCTGGCTCAATGGGGATGATCATCTCCTTACCATCCTTGCTCCCCTAGAGAACAACACAGTCAGACAGGAAAAGCCTGCTCTATAAAAACGCCTTTTTAGTTTTTGTGAAGAAATTATAGCCATCAGTATTTTCTTATAGTAAACTTTATTAAAAGATTATTTTTCTAGGGGGCTGGGCTGGTGGCACAGCAGTTAAATTCGCACGTTCTGCTTCTCAACTGCCCAGGGTTCGCCGGTTCAGATCCCGGGTGCGGACATGGCACCACTTGGCAAAAGCCATGCTGTGGTAGGCGTCCCACGTGTAAAGTAGAGGAAGATGGGCATGGATGTTAGCTCAGGGCCAGTCTTCCTCAGCAAAAAGAGGAGGATTAGCAGTAGTTAGCTCAGGGCTAATCTTCTCCACAAAAAAGAAAAAGATTATTTTTCTAAAAACACACACACATTTTTCATTCAAAAGTCTAGACAAGCAAATACTGTACAGTTTGTAAATTATATAAAACTGTTAACTGGGATGGGACTGGCTCCGTGGGTGAGTGGTTAAGTTCGAGTGCTCTGCTTCCTCAGCCCAGGGTTTCACCAGTTCATGGCATCGCTCATCAAGCCATGCTGAGGTGGCGGCCCACATTCCACAACCAGAAGGACCTACAACTAGAAATATACAACTGCGTACTGGGGGGCTTTGGGGAGAAGAAAAAAAAACCCTGTAAACTTGGGTTAAATCATTATTAGAGAGTTACTTTTGACCATTCTGGGCTAAATTTGGGGAGTTTTTTGGCCATTCTGGGATAAATTTCTGGGTTTTTAAAATTGAAATATAATTGACCATATAACATTGTATTAGTTTTAGGTGTGGATGGGCTAAATTTCTTAAACCCAACTTTCTTCTTGATCAGCCTATTTATTTTTAATCTCTAAAAGATGAGCAGCAGTAAGAATTCATAAAAAGCTATGTTCTGTCTTGCTGTTTTTACTCCTTATTTTGACCAAGCAAGATAATAAATTTTTTTTCAACATTTAGAATTTCCCTTCTAGAAAAATAAAACTGAGTTTATTTTCAAATTTGGGACCTCATGTTCTTGATGTTATCTGACAAAATTTTAATTGAAGAAAAAAAAAAGGGTTTGTTTTTTTGTTAATCCACGTACTGCTTTGACTAAAACCCAGCCCCAAACCCGCAACTGGTCACAATTCAGAGAGTAAGGATTAAACAAGTCAGCCCCAACAAAACCTACTATGAGAGATCATAAGTGGCCAAAGAAGGGTTTCTTTTACAGCTCAAGTTCAAAGTAATGAATTAAGGCTGAGTTTGGTCCAAAAAATTAGAATAGTTTGCTTCTGTTGCTTTTTTCAAGTAAGATCCAACAATAGTAGTCATTTTTAAGACAGATTCTAGAGGACCCCAATTTATACAGAAACTTAACATTTTTAGCCCTAGCACACCTTTATTTATTTTAATTTGGGGTTCTATATGGATCTTTTAGTGCTTTACGTCCCAAAGGGTCTGTTTTAAACAGAGCAAGAGGATTAGAAAATAATAATCTCAGTCCCTAAAACTCTGATAAATTCATAAGGAATACTTTATCAACAAATCAGAAAGACCAGTCCTGCACACAAAGTTGAAGTTATTACCTACATATTTCGAGCAATAAAGCATTTGGAGGAGTTGGGAGGGTAAAAGTGGTCTGAATTGTATGGATGAACTTTTGAGGAAACTTTTGCTTTATCTTAGAAATGAAGATGAAGTCATTTTTTCAATTCATTTTTTTTCTATTATTCAGATATATCCTTGGTTAGCTCAGTTTTTATTGATTTAGCCCAGACTTTGCTATAGCTACTTGGCAAGGATGAGCCAAATTTATCCAAAAATGTCAATGCTCTAAAAAGGCCATCCGTTTCCAGCTGAATGGCTAACTGCCACAAACTGCAGCATTCTTTATTTACAGCCAGATGGATGTCACAAAACAAGAATCTCTTCCTATTTCATTCTTAAGCCACACTAACCTCCTTGAAGAATACCCTATTCTTTTCCCTAAAGAAACAAGATTGATCTGGAGCCAGAACACTGTGCTCAGTGATAATCATTAAATCTAAATCCTTTCATTTGTGAAAGGAGGCTATCCTTTCAGAGAATAGTCTAGCATAATAATCAATCGTAGACCTTAACGTTATTTCAGTTTAGAACCCAAATACTCTGGCTTCTCTCAGCAGTCTCATTCCTCATGGACAGTTTTCACAGAGCCCTAATACACCGTTTGTTCTATAAACCCTGAGGGTCACTGAGTGCCCCTTTGTGCTCTCCTTATAGTTGAGAAACCCTATAAATGTGAGTTTTGCGGAAGGAGTTACAAGCAGAGAAGTTCCCTTGAGGAGCACAAGGAACGCTGCCGTACATTTCTTCAGAGCACTGACCTGGGTGAGACTGGTGAGTTCATACAACACTCATTCCACATACATTTAGTGAGCATCCACTGTTCTAGGTGGTGGACTAAATAGTAGTGAATAAAAAGACAAAAAAATCCTGCCCTCGTGGAGTTTATATTTTAATAAAGAAAGACAGACCATAAACAAAGTAAATAAGTAATTTATACAGTGTATTGGAAGGTAGTAAGTGCTACTGAGAAAAACAAAGCAGGTACTAGGGATGGAGGGTAAGTCAGGGAAGGTTTCAATGAGGTGACTTTTTAACAGACTTAAAGGGGTGAGGAGAGAGCCCTACAGATAACTAGGAAATAGCAAGTGCAAAGGCCCTGGGGCTTGAGTTTGAAGAAGTGTAAATAGTCCTGTGTGGCTGGAGCAGAGTGAGTGAGTAATGGATGTGAGGCCAGAGAGAAAATGGAAAACCAGGCCTTACCAGGCCTTGTAGGTCATTGTAAAGACTGGCTTTTACTTTGAGTGAAATTGAAAATCTTTAGAGGGTTTTGAACAGAGAGGTGACATGATTGGACTTCTTATTTGAAAAGAATCACTCTACTTGCTGTTAAGAATAGATTGTTTTGGGGGAAAGATAAAAAATTGGGGCATCCAGTTAGAAAGCCATTGCAATAATACAAACAATAGAAGATTGTGTGTTGGTTGTGGTAGAGGTGGTGAGAAGTGTTCTAATTCTGTGTATAAAGATAGAGCCGACAGTATTTCCTAACAGATTGATGTGGGATGTGATGAGGAATGCAGTTGTCATTAACTGAAATGGCAAAGATGGAGGGTAGAGGAGCTTGAGGCGTGGCTAGGGCAGAGTTTATTAAAACCACAACGATTTTTTTGCACAAGGCCCAAAAGTCATATACTTGTCTACTCATATGATTTATTGTGATGCTTATATTTGGGTTTTGGAGTTTCATATTTTGTTCAGTATTTTGAATTATATACTGAATGGCAACTGGTTGAAACACTAGATGTCTTTCCATCTATCAATTGTGTTTTATTTATTTTTCATTATTAGTTGAAACAACCTGAAACTATTTTGTGTCACATCTCGGCTGTTGTCCTTTGTCCTATCCAGTTGACCATCAGTTTGGTTCTGCAGCTTGAATTGTCACACATTTTTATTTGGTTACTTGAACCAGTTGCTTGTTTAGAGTAGGTACAAATCCTCATGGGATTTGATGTTTGACAAAAGTAGTTGCGCTTGAATAGTTTGAACATTCTAAAGCAGAAAGATTACAAAAATATGACAGAAATAATGTGAAACTCAGGAAAAATGCAGTGGAAATCATGAGTAGTTTAACTGTACCAGTTTTGAGTGAGAGGAAACTTTTGTTTTAGATAAAGCCTATTTTATGGTGTTAGGAGCTGGCCAACTGAATTCCGTTGGTTTGCAGTGCTTCTGCTTTTTATCCTGATGGCATCTTTGGTTTTATCAAGGAGTTGGATTTCCTCCTTATTTCTAAAGAGAAATGTTTACTCTCTCTCAAAAAAAAAAACCTAAAACGGGTTTTGACATCTTAAGCAATATGCTTAAGGTCAGTCAGGCAATACTTGGGCATCTTTACCTGCAGTTCCATATTTCAGACAGTAGACCAACCTCTTACTGTGAGAAATTCCAAGGTTATGGAAATCTATTATATTCCAAATAGAATCATTAACATGTAAAGCTAGAAGGGTTAAAGAGAGCATCTAATCCTACCTCCTCATTTTAGAGGTGAGGAAATTGAGACTCATCAAAAATTCAATGACTTAAAAATCATTTCAGTAAAATCAAATTAGAACTTTTCGTTGTTTTCATGATTAGCTATAATTTTTTGTTTTCAAAAATGTATTGAGATTATAACTCATACACCATAAAATTCACCCTTTAGTGTACAATTCAGTAGTTTTAATTGTATTCACAAATTTATACAACCATCACCACTATCTAATTCCATGACATTTTTGTCACCCCCAAGAAAAACTCTGTGCCCATTAGCAGTCAGTCCTCATTCCCTGTCTCTCCAGCCCCTGGAAACCACTAATCTACTTCCTATCTCTATGAATTTGCCTATTCTGAACATTCATGTAAAAAGAATCGTACAATATGTGGCCTTTTATATCTGGCTTCTTTCACTTAGTGTAATGTTTTCATGGTTTGTCCATATGGTAGTGTGTATCAGCACTTTATTCCTTTCTATGGCCAAATAATATTTCATTATATGGATTTATCACATTTTATTTATCCATTCATTAGTTAATGGACATTTGGGTTTTTTCTACTTTTAGAAAATATGACTTTATTAGCTATATATTTTTAAAGCTTATATATTATCTGGTTAGCAAAAGAAATATAGTAACACACAGACTAATAGACATACACATATACATGAATGTGTGTCTTGATTCTCCTGGAAATAGGGGGAAAAAAATCAGTAAACTGCCCTCTATGATCAGTAAGTTCAAAATTGATGATTTTGAAGTAAGGTTACCTACCACCTTACTTTCCATCTCCATAACTTTTTTAAGGAATTTCAAATTAGGAAAGTATCAAAAGAAATATTTTTGGTATCTTCACTGGTATGAGGTGATTCAGGAAATGCTGAAGTACAGAAGTTAAGTTAATTTGCATTTCGTAGGGTGGTTTGATAGATATGTGCAGCATACTTTAAGTCTCAGCAAAAAAATAAAGGGTTAACTAAGTCAGCAAGTTTTGATTTTCTTTAAAAACAAATATGTTGTAATGGTGGTTTCAGGTTACAAAATGTATAAAGTCACAGCTTAATCAACTATAGTAAATACTGCATGTCAGTCAATATAGTACTCTTTCAAATAGTTCTCATGATTTTGCCTAAAATCCAAAATGTAAAGAATGTTTAATCTAACACAAGCCAATCCTTTAATTATTGCCACTGCTCTCTATATGGTTTCCATTTCTGTTTCCTTCTTAAAATTGGGAGTCTCTATCTGGACATAGTGTTCCATTCTGAGCCTGACCAATATAATATCCCCAGTGGTAGATCTTATCTCTTCATCCCTAGCTTTTAAAGTGATGATGCTCCATTACTACTGTGGATGCTGCCCTTGTTCATCAAGTGGCTTATTGTAAATTGAAATGCAGCCTTGTGTGAGAGCCAAGCCTTGGGACAAACCTGCCCCCATCAGGAAGCAGGCCTTTATGGAAGCAGAAGAGATGAAAAGGCCTTGGCCTAGAGACCAGTCTACAAAAGACTGCCATGTTGGGCAACAGGACTTCTGGCCTTGCTAAAATCATTTTGTTTTTTTCAGACAGCATTTGTTGGATTCTCTATGTGCCAGGCTCTGTGTCAGAGCTGTTTGTTAAGATGAGTGAAGGTTAAGCCCCTGCCCTTGAAGATCTTACAGTCCAACAAGGGAATGGGCACTTGGTCTATTAGTACAATACAAACGTCCAATAGAGACACATGTCCTATTGCTACTTCAGTCCAAGTCTCTACACCGGACATCACCAGTGACCTCATCATGATACTCCTCCAATTCTGTGGTCTTAATGGAGTATAACTGAAAAGAAGAAGGAACATAGAAGACCACGGATTTCATTTTCTCATTAGCTTGATCCTTACTCCAGAAAGGGACTAACAGCTGGTATAGAGATTCACTTAGCCTCATTTTCACACAAATTATGAGTACTGGGAGCGGGACATGTTTTTGTATGACAATGTTCTAGCAATAACGAGAGTTTTAAAGTAATTGAATAATTAAATTTATTTATGAATCTAGGAGTCAAAACCTTTTATCTGCATTATCACGGTTTCATTTGAGCTAATACAAGCATGAGAGTTTCAGAATAAACTTATATTTTTACCAAGTATCAGTCCAAAGAAAAAGTTTAAAATGTTTTAAAAGTCTGTTTTCCCAACAGATTATTCTTTTTAAAAATCAATACTATCTCACAGGTAGTATTCATTCTACTTGGTCAAAAAGGCACAGTTTTATGTAACTTTTTTGTTGGAACCTGCCTCAGTCTTTGATAGCAATCTCTTGTTAGACAATTCTTATTGCACAGTGACACCCCGTTGTTCCACACACTATTAGCTACTGACTGACCACACCATAGAAGAGACAGGAAGCAATGCCTCTTATTTGAGCTCCGTTTAACACTTCAAGAGCTAATGAAGGATTTTGCACAAAAACAAAAACACTACAAATTACATAGTTAAATCTGCAATCACTTTGAGATAGAAATTGCATCATGGAAACAGTTAACTAAAAACCGGAGAAACTATTAAGACTTGTGCAGAGATTAAAGGTAGTAACCTATTCTGTAATTATGACTTCCTATAAGTTTTATTTATTTTTTCAACATGTCTTTAAAACCATTTTGCTAATGAAAGTTGGTATATCTACTATAGAGTAGGCAAGTGACACCAAGGGGAATTGATCCAGAATTACAGTCCTACTCCTTCTATGCTCACTCCTGAACCAAGTGTGCAAATTGTTCCTTGCCCCTGTCCCATATTCCCCACACCCACTCCTTGCAACATTAAACTGCCAAACACCACCCAGGAACGGATTTCCTATTTCATCATTTAAACCCATTATCTTGTTCCCTTACTATCTTGCCAAACTGGTTTCCCTCCACTTACATTTCTGAGACATGATGTGGCAAGATAACAAGTCTAGACTATTTGTATAAATAGACAGTTGGGTCTTAAAGTTGAAGCAGAGGACCAAAAGCCAGTAGTCCTTTTTTTCTTTTCAGTGTACTGCCTAAACTCCTTATAATCCCAAAGAGATTGTCTAACTCCAAAGCATTTCTTTGTGTTTTAAAGAGTGCTCATTTAGTGGCATTGTGTAGCAGCTGTCCAACAATTGCAAGGCAAAAGACTAACAGTTTGGAAAAGAAAATGAGAGTGCACCATATTCAAATGAAATTTTAACCTTTGCGTAACTTGCCAATTGGAATATACAGTTAACTGAGTAAAGACTAACTTAATCTCTGGAGTGTGTTCACATATACAGTGAGGGTTGGGGTCTTGGAGCTTATGTTTTGAGTGAAGAATCCAGAGAGAGAGTGTGAGTTGATGGAGCCCTCTAGATGAGTTTTAGAGGATTTCTTTCACTATAACCAGAGTTGTGGAAATGGGAAAGTCTTCACCTATGCCTCAAATTATCTGTCTATCCATAAACACTCCAGAATTTTATCTTTTTAAATGTCAGGCATTTGGTCACTGATCTACAGAGTAAGATTATCTAGAAATGACTGTCAAGACAAGCTTGGTGAGTAACCAGGGATGAAAAGTGATGTTATCTCGGAAGGTTGCCATTTAGTGACATGCCCTAATTACGTTATTTAGGTCAATGTATCCCCACTTTAGCATCCTCCCAAATATAGAGGATATTGAGTGTGTGTCCTCAGAAAGCTGTTTGTGGGAACTGATAGTGACTTAGGTAAAATGTAGACAGTGACTGCCACGAGGCAGGTGGGAAAACTAGGCAGGCAGCATAATGCTTGCAGTAAGTGCTGGGACTGAACAGATAAATCTCTGGGTGACGACTGAGCCATTTGAGGAGTGACTGCCACAGACGAGTAAGAATAGCGGTAAAATGGGGATAAAGTTAAAAATTCCCAGAGTACTGTTTTTTCATTCTCATTTCGCTATAAATCTTTTTGGTAATAAATACAAGATGGAAGGGGAGCCTTCCCAGGATTTAATCCTCTCAAAGTTGCTCAAACCAGAATGAATGTTCCCAAAGCACAAATTTAGCTGCCTCTCCGATGCTTCTAAGAAAACGCCTCCTTATAACAGCCTCAGGAACTTATTTCAAATCCCAGACCTTTGTCTTTCATCTCTCTGCTCTTGGGGCTCTGGGTAGTGCCACATCTGGTGGTGGTTTGTGTGAAAGGAAATAATATATATATAATAGTTTCCTGTTTGGTCATTTAAACCTATCCCTGTGCTGGACAGAATTTGACCCACTTTGCTCAATAGCAGAGTCCTGTCACTAAAGTGCCAGTTATTTACAACGGTTGGTCAGACAAAGTTGCAGTGCTTTACCACGAGCCCAAAAGCTGCCCGGGCCCCTTATTCTGACCCTTATTGTTTAGACATTTAGACAAACAGTGTTGTTAATAGTTTAAATTGGAGGCTGGGATTTATTTCTTTAGAGCATAGAATTATTTTTGACAAAGTCTAGTAAATATGGTCATTACCATCATCCTCTTTGTTTATTCATTTTTGGAGCCAGAGTTCATTTTATTCCTGAATTTAAAAAACCCTGAGCTTTATAATTTATTGTGTAAGACTTGCATACATAGAATTTTAAAAACAAAACCAAAAAGATACTAATAATAAAATGAAAGATATTGAATACCTTGCATTCTCTTTTTCTGATTTGGCTTTGGTTCTCTCACTCTGGTCATACTTAACAGTCTTGCCAAGGACATCTTTCTCTGTCTCTCATTTACTGCAGAGGTGGCCAGCTTTCTTCTTTCTGGGCACGTCCATCTGTGGTGTTCAATGTCTGAGAGATCATGGAATTTGTGACATTATTTTTGTATATTAGAATCTCCTCACACAGAAAACTCTTCACCTACAGCAGGATCACTGACAATTCCTAGACTTTTGTATGTTTATATTTGGAAAAAAAATTCCGTTCTGCAATCATCACTTGCTTTCTACTCTAGTCCCTTAAACTAATTTCAATTTTTTCTTCCTTAGCGATATTAGAAATGTAGATACTTCATTTTTGTTTGGACCTCCTAAAATGCTTATTATAAACCAGGGGGAATTGTTTGTAGCATCACAATATGTTTGTTTAGGGCAGGGGTGAGCAAACTATGACCCTCAGGCCAAATGCAGTCAGCGGTCTGTTTGTACACAGGGGTTTTTACATTTTTAAAGGGTGGTGGGTCAGGAAAAACAACAAAGAATGTGGAACAGAGGCTATATGTGTCCCACAAAGTTTAAAATATTTACTATCTGGCCCTTTACAGAAGAAGGTTGCTGATCCCTAGCTTGGACTAGTATCATGTGTTAAAATTTAAAGCTTTATATTTAGAGCAGCTCGTATCTCTTTGAACTTGAGTCATGAACTCTTTTTGGGTACTGCCTGCTGTACCAGGGTAAACTATGTTATATTTATTCCAACTTAGTGTTTAGTTGATTAGACGTTGGAACTATTTATATATTCTTCTAGTGATTGTCAGTTCTGACTGCATTTTAAAATCATCTGGAGAGCTTTAAAAATACTGTTGCCTAGGCCCCTACACCAGAGATCCTGATTTAATTGATCTGAAGGGGAGGCCTGGGCATAGGTGTGTCTTACATGCTCTTCAGGTGATTCTAATGTTCAGGTAGGTCTGAGAACCACAGGCCTACACCACTTGAAAGTCTATTTGTGGACTGACAATTAGACCATAATCTTCGGCAGTTTTTATTCACATTTTTCATTAGAAATATAATAAAGATGCATTATACAAATTGCTCTTTAATTTCAAGACAGAAGTGTTGCTCAGGGAAATTTTAACTGAGACAATTTTGAAATGTGAAGAGCATATGAAACAGAAAATGCAGAGCCCAGAGAAATAGAATTTAAAAGATAGGAACTGAAAGGAGCATGCTGGAAAAGAAAAAAAAGAAAAAAACCACTCAAAATTTCAATACACAAATCACTGAGTAGATTTCTTGCTATCTGGGTAAGTGTCTATTTTCAAAAGTGCTATTAACATAAACAGAGCAGTAAATCTGGGGCACCATACTTTTTTTTCAAAGTTGTTAAGAAGAATTATATCAGTCTGCAGGTGTCACACGCAGTTACTCAGAATCAGAAAGAAGGCTGATCCGGGGTTAGAAGATCTCCTTCTATCTATCTTTTTGCAGCCAACCACGTCCAGGCTGTTTATTTAATACTTCCTCTTGCTAATGAAGGTACTGGTTGGGGATGGGTCGGGCTTTCCCATCTCAGCATAAGACTGCAAGATTTGAATGTGCCCTGGTGCTGGCTTCAGTGACCACAGCAGGTACCCCAGGCAAGAATCTGAGCAGTAATAACAGGTAACAACAGAGTGTGCATCAGACCTCTGACACTTTTCCTTCTAGTTTATTTCCTTTTCTCCCCATTTACCAACGTGTTCTTTTCCCTTTTCTTTTTACATTTTTCCAAACCAGCAAGTGTGGAGGCAAGACACATCAAAGCAGAGATGGGAAGTGAAAGAGCTCTCGTTCTGGACAGATTAGCAAGCAATGTGGCAAAACGAAAAAGCTCAATGCCTCAGAAATTCATTGGTAAGAATACAACCCTTTTTCCTGCTGTTGTTAGCAGATAGTTTGAATGAGATAACATAGAATGATTACTACACAGGCCCTTCCTAGATTAATCTCTGTTAAAATAAGGTAATTTGTTTTCCATTGTACACTTTTTATTCTTTGTTATTCATTTTGATAACTAGAGCAAATAGAATAAAATATTTTAACTAAAGAATCTATTGAAGATGGGAGTATTTGGTATCCAATTCCCTAAACGGAGTTGGTGTTAAAAATGCTGTTCCTTCCTCTTTATTCTGAATGACATATGTTGCATGAGAGAGTTTATGCAATTTACACCAGTAAGATGTTTGAGATAGCATTTTTGTAATCTTTTGTAATTGTATTTTACAACTTGGTTCCGTTATCATGCTCAACCTTTTTTCATGCTCTAAAATGTATTGCCATATTTTCTTGAATTTGATTGAGAGTTGGCTTTAAGAGAAAGTGGTTGGGAAATCACAAATTTAAATAACAGGGTTTGATTTAATCATTTGTCTTACTGGAATTAATTTTTATGCCATTGGTTTTCACGTTGTCAAAAAATACAGCAGAATGAGATGGCTAAGAAATAATTACGTCCATGAAAAGTGTTAGGACTGCCAAATGGCAGAGATATTTTGTTGAACTCTCCCAGATGTTTACATAAATGTGACCATGATATTTAAAATAGATTTGTATTTGTGAAGTAGGCAGCTGAATTGAATGTATCAGTTTTTCTATAAATTGAAAGTCAGTGATATCAAACAAAAATAGTTATCACGTGAAAATAGACCTCCCTCAATACCAATAATATTTTAGAAATCTGTTTTTCCAAAGCTACTTGCTGCTATTGATTTCTTCAGTCCTTTTGTGTTTATTCTTTGCAATAGCTTTTATAGATACTAACTGCCTGCCTGGTTTTTAAATCTGGTTAAATTTTATTCTGTAGTTTTTTTACAGGTAGGCATTTTATGTGAATTATAGAGATATATTGAAAGAACCCATATATTTCAAAATTACCTAGCTTGGTATTTATGCTTATTTATTTTATTTTGATTAGCTGACAACTTTTTGTACCATTTTAGTCACTTTAAGAATAAATTGTGTCAGACTAAAGTGCGTGCATTTCAGTTTAGAGATCCCCTCCTCCTGACCATCTTCTCTCTCCTTGGTGAGAAATGTCAGGGAGCATGTAGTGACTTCCATAGGGAGTTTAGGCACAATGGACCAATTGTGATTCCAAGACATTCTCTGAAAACATTGCTCATATCTTTTGAGCTTTACTTATGTGAAAACTTTATGACTGGAGTACAAAAGAAAGCTTGGATTGTTACTCTGTGTTTTGAGTGTAATTTAATTTGGGGAAAGTTTTGACTCTAGAAATGGCTGAAGCTGATGTGTGGAGGCACATGGGGAGAGATGAGCAAAAAAAAAGTAAAGTGACAATTTCAGTCGAGTTATGGTCAATACATTTTGGTCTAAGAGAACTAAAATATGAAAGAAGGTCCCTCGTTCTTACAGCTGCCCTAAACCTATGGGTGAGCTAAACCCCTACTTAATCTAAGTTGCTTTGGTATTTTCATGGGTTTAAAAACATGGTTCATCTGTCCAACTCCATGCCATTTGCCTGTTGTGTCAGGGATTCATTCCATCTGTTTATTACCATTGTGACCAGAGCATTTTCACTCCTGTGTTTCCAGACTCATGAGAGATGCTGATCTTGTAGGTGCTGATTTCCGTCATCTTCTGAACCATCAGAAGTTCTCTCTGTGCTAGAATCAGACCCAGTAGAATTAGTTCTTGATCTGAGCTGAGGTAGCAACTTCAGGGCTTCAGGGCCCCGAATAATTAGGGGAATTTTTTTGGTCAATTGTGGTATAGTGCAGTAGGAAGGGCACTGGATTAGAAGCCAAAAGACCCAGATTCCGATTCTAGCTCAGTCATTTCTTAACAGTGTGTGTTTAGACAAATCACATAACCTTTCTGGACCTCTGTTTACTCATCTGTGAAGTGAGGAGACTGCATAGGTGATGAAGTGATCAGGAAGGCACCTCCCAGCTCTATCAGTCTACAAGTCTGTGAGGTGAATTAGAAAAGGCAGCAATTATGAATACTGCTTTGTGTTTATAAGCCCATATGTGTAACTTCAGATAACTTTTTTCTCGAGGCTGTACAGGCATGGTGTTTATGTTATGAACTATATCATATATTTTAGTCTTTTTTAGGAAGTTGTTAAGTGTGAAAATCTATAAAACAACGGCATTAGCTCAACATTCGTATAGTTTACTTAGGGCATTACTACTTGTTTATTTGCTCTTATGTCCATTTATTCATCAAGATATCGTTATAGTGCTCCTGCCATATACAGTTGACCCTCTGTATCTGGGTTCCACATCCAAGGATTCAACCAACCTTGGATGGAAAGGCCTACAATGGTTGTGTCTGTACTGAACATGTACAGACTTTTTTTTCCTTGTCATTATTCCCTAAACAATACAGTATAACAATTGTTTACACGGTATTTGCATCATATTAGGTATTATAAGTAATCTAGAGATGATTTAAAGTATATGGGAGGATGTGTGTGGGTTATATGCAAATACTACGCCATTTTGTATAAGGGACTTGAGCATCCGGGGATTTTGGTGTTCGTGGGAGTCCTGGAACCAATCTCTCATGGATATCCAGGGACAACTGTGCCTGACATTCTTGTCCCTGAATACTGTTCTAATTGTCTAACATTGGCTTATATCCTGAATCTTTGTTTTAGAGATTTTTTTTTAATTAAAGAAACTCCTTTAATCATTTAACTGAATCAACCTTTTTGATAAAAACCAGTAATATCAAGGCGGGGGGAAGGAATATTATGACACTGTGCAGTGTATGGGATGAAGTGATATAAAACATATGGGGCTAATGTTTTCCTTCCTCTTCTTTTCTCTCTCCTATATTTCCTCTCCAAGGCACCATTTTCTGAAAAGGTTCAGCTGCCAGGGAAATGGCAATGGGTAAAGTGTGAAGGAAGATGAGTCACTCCCTTTAATCCTTGCTGACAGTTGCACAGCACTCAGACCTACCTTGGCTTCCCTGACCTCTTGAACTGTGAGGAGAAAGGTGAAATTACACCATTAGGTCAGCCTGTTAATTTCCCAGCAGGCTAGAGATAATTACCAGTAGGTAGCATTTTTCATCCATTAGAGGTGAACTGAGGAAGAGGGACGGATTGGGTTAAGTCTAAATGCATTTAGCAACACAAAACCATGCCTCTTGAAGAGTAAGAGTAAAATTAAGTTGCCCAAGTAGGAGAAAAATAAAGTCATTTTTTCCCTCATTCTCCAAGAAATTTTGTATCCCTTTCTGTAAAATGCGAAATAAATTGACCCACATTCATTGGAAATCAGCATCTTAACATCATCAAAGTAATGCTTAGTTGTTCTTTTCAAAGGACAAGACCTTACTTTTAGCACCTAACCCTTTTAGGGGTTGTCCTTTCTCTCAGTGCTGTTTTCTTGTTATAAACTATTTGACTATACTTCTAACTAGTCCATCTTCAAATCCTTGGCTCAAAACAGAGGCCAGGTTTCTTTCCTGGAGAGAGGAGGAAAGTGACTATATTTCTTTTTCTGATTTTCATTCTTTCTCCATAAACAGATGTGTTATTCAGACCAAAGTGGTTACCATAGCATCTCCTTATTTTTTTAATTCTGTGTATTACTTTATCAAAGGAAGTTTTCATGTTGAAAAGAACATGAAAAAAGATCTCACTTACCCGTGGTAAACATGTTAATGAGGTTTTGACACTTCAACAAACACCGTCAGTTCTGTTCACCCCGTGAAGTAACTAATGAGAGATTGTCTGCTTTGGTTAACAGAGTGACAGGAAGTAGTTTTAATACCTGTTTCTAAGAGCAAAAAGTATCTTCTCCTACCCCTTCCCAAAGGGCTGAAATCCATTATCCTATGAGCATTACAAAGTCATAGCATTTTAGAACTTGAAGAGAGATTCAGAGCCACCCAGTGAAGTTCTTTTACCAAGGAGGGAAGAAGGATGGGAAAGATGGAGAAACACAGCTGGTAGGTGACAGAGCAGGGCCAGAACCTAGGTCTATAAAGTGGTGCAGCATAAGTCTGCTTCTGCAGCACAAGAAAGCTTCTCTGGGAGGTCAGCCACAGCAACGCATGTCATGTCTGCTATCTGGGGGCTTTGGACAGGGAGGAGGCTAGTCATTGAAAGCTAGTGGGAGAAAAGTCCTTGAAGAAGGGCAGTCATTCTCTCTCAAGGGTATGTTTTCTTGAGAAAAGAACTGTCTTCCACTGGTGACTCCATCAGGACAGATGACATCCAAATAGCACTTCACAGTGTCTCAGAGGACAAAGGCTTCTGCAGCAACAAAATGTGGTCTCCAGCTCAGTTTTCCTCACCACCACCCCCACAGCTCTCTCTGTTCTCTCTCCTCCTTCCTGCTTCTTGTTCTGTGGCTCCCCTCTGCTTTCGTCCTCCTGGAAGAAGTGTTAGTCACTTTAGTCTCAATAAGATTGAGATCAGAGCCATAATTATCATCAGATATTCCACTTACCCTACTTACCTGCCTTTTTTTTTTTTTTTTGACATGTGCTTGCAGTAAGAGTAAGTGATAATACACATGAGAAATTGTATGAAGATAGCAGCAAATATATTTAAGTGACTCGAAGAAACTTAAAGACTTAAAGAAAACCTGAATATTTCACATTAACCCATCATGATGACTGTAATATTGGAATTGTGTTATTTTTCTAATGTTCAAATCATTTTTCTCCCCTCTTCAAAAAAACCTTTCAAAGGCTCCCCATTGGAAGAAAATCCAAACCACTCAAGCGTTCTGAGCCTTCCGCAATCTGTTTCCAATTTACCTTTTCTAATTTTATCATTTCAGCCAACTGATCCTTTAATTCAGCCACAGTGAACTACTCCCACTTCTATGTAATACTTTTCCACTTCTATGTAATCGTTCTTTCCGTGC